AATAATAATAATAATAATAATAATAATAATAATAATAATAATAATAACAACAATAATAATAATAATAATAATAACAACAATAATAATAATAACAACAACAATAATAATAACGGGATACAAACAGACAAATAAAATTTTGCGAGCCCTCTTAAGAGCAACCCTAACCCAGCCTTCTTTTTTTCCAGGATCTCCAGAAACTGCTGTCTCCCACTATCAGAAAGCCATTGAATTCAGCCCCGGTCATCATGTGGCCATGGTGAATCTGGGCAGACTCTACCGCTCCTTGGGGCAGAACAAGGATGCTGAAGTTTGGTACAAGCGGTAAGCATCTGGGCATCCGGTGTTCTTGGCAAGGCGACAAGAAATCCTTGGCTTTTAAAAGGGAAATAGTGCTAATACTGTGTTGTTTGAAAGAGTTACACAACTTATGCTATCATTTTATGTCCATTTGGCTCTGGATGTTTATTGCAAAGGAAGAATTTGAATTTTATCTGAATTTGTTCAAAGTTTGGCAGCATAAATTCCGCGCCACACATGTAAACATAGATGACTAAAGCTTCATTTTACTTCTTTATAAATATAATATCAGTAAATTTTACAATACAATGCCTGAAGGCGAAAATCTATAACTCTGTGGTGCGCCCCGTGGCCATATACGGCGCAGAGTGCTGGCCGACGACCAAAGAAGTTGAAAGCAGACTCCAGACAATGGAGATGCGAATGCTCCGATGGTCGGTAGGCCTCACCCTACTCGATCGCGTCAGGAATGAAGAAGTGCGCAGACGGTTCAACGTCGTGCCCATCCCCACGGTCATGAGGCAGTCCCGGCTACGATGGTTCGGCCATGTGAGTCGCGCCAAGGAAGAATCCATCATCAAATCTACGATGAAGGTGATTGTCGGAGGAGCGAGACCGCGTGGTAGACCTAAGCAACGCTGGATGGACACGATCAAGGCCGATCTAGAGACCGCGAAGGCAGACCCGACATACGTGGCAGACAGAGAGGCGTGGAAGCAGTACTCAAGGACATTAGCGGACCTCGCCAGAGCGCGAGACAAACGCTGAAGAAAAAGAAGAAGAAGAAGTAAATTTTACAATACCAGTTGTAGATTTCTCCAACATGGAGCAAACTCAAACAGAAGTAGACATGTTACAAGTGCAGAGCAGAACAGCAACTCAACTTCAGCAGACCAGCCAGAAAAACAGAGACAACTTCTAGTTTCACTTTCCAAGTCAGCTCCCATTGGCTGGTCTATTATATGCCTACTCACTGACTCTGTTAACTATGTCTCCACCAGTAATTGAATACTCTGACAGAATTCCAGGTTATTTTTTAATAAGGGCTGGGAGACAGGGTAGATTAGAAGAAAAGGTGAGGAACTGTTAGAGAACTTTAAAGAGGTACTGTACCTAACTTATTATTTTATTTTATTTTATTATTTAGGGCACTTAAAGTAGCACGGAAAGTTGAAATCCTATCTCCGCTTGGAGCGCTGTACTACAACACAGGCCGATATGAAGATGCATTAAAGATTTATAGGGAAGCTGCCTCATTGCAGCCATCCAACAAAGAGACTCGACTGGCTCTGGTGAGTGTACGCTGTTCCTTTTCAGACTCTGCCGAAAGTGTCGTCTTTGCACGTTTCTTTTTGCTTGCAGGTGTGAGAACTTGAGATTGGGCTGCATGAGAATAACGAGTATGATATTACACTGAAGCTGCTTTAACCTAAAATGGAATAGGCATGTAGGCAGAGAGGACAGAAGTCAGGAATCTTGACAAAAAGATCTTCAGAAGGTGGTTAAGGAAGAACCAAGTCATCAAGGATCCAGGGAGAAATATCAGCAGAAGACAAGCAAAGGAGACTGACCAGACTAAAGGGTTGCCACAAAGAAGAGGGCAGTCAACCTATTCTTCAAAGCACTTGAAGGCAGAGACAAGAAGACGAGAAGCAATGGATGGAAACTAATCAAGGAGAGAAGCAATTTAGAACTAAGGAGAAATTTCCTGACAGAACAATTAATCAGTGGAATAAATTGCCTCCAATTCTGTTACCACTGGACACTGCATCTGTTGTAAGTACAAGCCAGTTGCCAAGCACCCAGATCACAATCCCATAACCACAAGAATGCTGCAATGGCCAGAACTTCAAGGATCTATCATAAGTTCCTTGTGTGATTGGACACACAAGGAATTTGTCTTGGTGCAAATGCTCTCAGTGTACATAAAAGAAAAGATACATTCATCAAGAGTCAAGAATCATCAGGTACAACACTTAATGATAGTCATAGGGTACAAAAAGCAATCAAATCATACTAGGAAACAGTCAGTATAAATCGTAAGGATACATGCTTTTCTTGCTCAGATATGAGATGAGGGGCTACTGAAAAATATAAAGCCTTCTTGACAGAACCCATCTTCATACAATACAGGCATTCCTCAACTTGACGACCACAATTGAGCCCAAAAATTTAAGTGAGAAATGTGTTAAGCAGGTTTTGCCCCATTTTATGACTTTTCTTGCCACATTTCTTCAGTGAATCCCTGCAGTCGTTCAACTAGTAAAACCCAGTTGTGAGGTGAATCTGGCTTCCCCGTTGACTTCACTTGTCAGAAAGTCACAAAAAGAAGACACTGCAAACCATCATAAATATGAGTCCGTTGTCAAACATCCGAACGTAAATTACCTGGCCGTGGGGATGCTACAACAGTCCTAAGTGTGAAAAGTGGTCGTAAGTCAGTTTTTTCAGTGCTGTTGTAACCTTGAATGATTGCTAAGTGAACTGTTGTAAGTTGAGGACTACCTGTACCTTTAGTGTTCTTAGGCTGCCTTACAGAGGGAGACCCAATATTCCCCAGGATTCCAGGAGGGAGAATTGTTTCCTTAACTTCTCTTTTTCTCTCTCGCTCTCTCTTTACAGGCTCAGGTTTTAACAACGATGGGCCAAGCAAAGGAAGCAGAGCAAATGTTGAGCCACATTGTGACCGAAGGGGCCGAGTGCCTGGAGTGCTACCGCTTGCTCTCTGCCATCTACAGCAAGCAAGAGAACTACAACAAGGTATAGTTACCCCCCTCGTCCAAAAGCTGTGACGCCGAGTCAAGAAGGGCCAATTTTAAACAACCTTGAGAGAATGCAGGAGCCTCTGTGGTGCAGTGGTTAGAGTGCAGTACTTCAAGGTACTTCTGCAGCCAACTGCCTACAGTTTGGCAGTTCAAATCCCACCAGGCTCAAGGTTGACTCAGCCTTCCATCCTTCCAAGGTGGGTAAAACGAGGACCCAAATTGTTGGAGTCAATAGACTGACTCTGTAAACCGCTTAGAGAGGGCTGTAAAGCAGTATATAAGTCTAAGTGCTATTGCTATTAAAGCAGAGCTCCATCCAGTACTTCCAGGCAGATTTTTAGGGCTGGCTGTCTTGGATGGATAGCGCTGTCCTATTTAAATATTAGAAATCCACCCCAAAGCTGTTTTTTTTCAAAATGCAATTGGACTTTGTTTTCCCTTGAAGACGTTTTGCTTCTCATGCAAGAAGCTTCTTCAGTTTTGACTGGATGGCAGGGAACGGAAAGATTTCTATTCTTTGCAGTCATCTCCACAGTCATTCCGATGATTGTAAAGAATATAAATCTTCCATCATTCAGTCAGAACTGAAGATGCTTCTGGGGTGAGAAGCCAAAGTTCTTCAAGGAAAAACAAGGTCCCGTTGCCTTTTGAAAAAGCAACTATGACCTGGATGAATCTCCATAGCCTGTCAGAAATCAGATTCTGAGTTTTAGAAGATTCTGATGTGATGGGTTCTGTTTTGCTGGAGACCAGTTTCACTTCTCCATCCATAGGTACATTCAGTTACTTGTCACAGTATTAAAGAACCTTGGATTTAATGTCTGGGAACTTTCTAGCTCTTCTCTGAACATCCAAAATTGCTCCTTCTGAACTGAATTATCAGCTATATTATTGGAAGCAAAACATAGATGACAACTGCCCAGTTTGTATCAATCCCATTTTGTCTCTGCAACTCTTTGTACAGGCACTTGAAGCCATAGACAAAGCTTTACAACTGAAACCAAAGGACCCCAAAATCATATCAGAGCTCTTTTTCACCAAAGGAAACCAGCTAAGAGAACAAAACCACCTGGACAAAGCTTTTGAGGTACTTACTTATATATGAACCACATGGATTGCTTCTTTCATTAAACCTAAGTGATGCTCTTCAAGTTGCTTACTTGAACACATGCATCGGAGGATCCTAGAGCAAAAAGGCTGCCATAGGAGAAAGTGCTGAACGTATAGTTAGATAGCAAGAGGCTAAATTCCAGAGAAACATAATCTATTTTGAACCTTAAAATTTAATAGGTAACTATATGCTTATGTCCAGGGATTATGGATCAATTCTTGCTATGTTGCCAAAGTTCCCAGTTTCTTAATTTGGAACAGCCGTCTCTGTGGTTCATAATACTCAACTCGTATCCAAGAGTTCATCTCCACTTGAACTGTATTCCTTTCACTTCCCTTCTCACAAGAATATTTTCATTAGCTGGCTCTCTCCCAGATACCAGGTCTAGTCTCCCCTTTGTTCCTCCCCTCCTCCCCCAAAAAACTTTTACAGAGGATAGTCTTTCAAATTCTTTGCATAATGGTACCTTTCCCTGGAACACATGCTAGTTGTCTTAAACTTATTGATTAAGGAAATTACAGTTATTTGGAAACATGTCAGTAACATTCTATCCTGTTCTTCTCAACTTGGGGCTCCCGTTCAGAGGTGGTATTCAGCTGGTTCAGACAGATTCTGGCATACCGGTAGTGGAAATTTTGAGTAGTTCAGAAAACCAACAAATACCACCCCGCCTATACACCCCCGCCCTTTCCTGTCCTATATTCCCTTGTTTTTCAGCTCAGCTGATTCATGCAGATTGCCACGCCTCAACAGAGTTAAAAATCAGCTTACTTCACTAGTGTTGACACAGGGTGGTTTTTGAGTGCTGCGTGCGCATACGAAGCGCGGTTTCATAGAACCAGTAGGGAAAAATGTAGATTCCCACCACTGCTCCTGTTTATGGTTAGGTTATAACCCCCAACATTCTTCATTTAGTAAAATAAATGGCCAGAAGCTATGGAATTAGTAATCTAGAACATCTGAGAACCCAAGTGTGGGAAAAGCTATTCCTTGTGTGCATTAAGATCTCCACAATATAGATTCGGGTCTTCTAATGTTGAGTTTTCATTTTCATATTAACATAGAGCTATAAAGTGTCTGTAGACTTCAATCCTGAGCAAGCACAAGCATGGATGAATATGGGAGGTATTGAACACATCAAGGTAAGAAAATGCAGAAATTATTTGTGTTTGTTATTAAAATATTTGTATTTTAATAAAATAAGAATCATCCATGTGATTTATAATCCTTGGTACATAATGTCCAACCAGATCACGTTGGATTACATGAGGTCAGATTATCCGCGTCCCCTGAGTCTACTTAAAAAATATTTATTATTAAATGTGAAATATTTAATTAAATAGTAAAGATCAAAGGTTCTTTACATTGTCCAATTAAAAGCAATACAGGCTACAGTAGACTTCCCAAGTAGACATGTTTGATTCCAGTTTAATTAAAGCTGCAACAAAATGTATCTGGAGGGTGATTTTAAATTAAACTTCTTGTTATTTTAAGTTATTACTTAAAGAAGCACAGGCAACTGTTGACTCTCCAGATAACCATTGAATGGAATGTCCTCCCAGCCTCAGTCAACATGGTCAATGAATGTGCATAGTGGGAGTCTACCTAAATACCATCACAGATGAGCTCTGTGGAAGCTTCCCTCAAAATGTAACTGCTCAGCTTGGATGCTGCCTTAGTACTAACCTTATCTTGGGTCATCCCCTTTACATCTTCTTATTAGACACAACACAGGGTTTCTGATTGCATCTGTAGCTGATAAAGAGCTTTGTGCAAGGGTTAGTTCTCAAATAAAGTAGGACTTTAATAAGAGAAGATTCACAAATGTATATAGCCTTGTTCTTTTCTCTATAGGCAAGAATGAGACACAAAGTCTTCAGACAGCTGGCTCTGAATAAAAATAATAGATGAGGACAGCAGTAGCTGCAGTTGGCCATGGTAGTAGCAGCAGAGAATGAAATATGGGCCAAACTCCCCAAATATGGGAAGAAAAAAACAACAACAGCTGGATGAATTTGAGATTTTTATCTGTTTTGGTATGATAAAGATTCTTATGTAGCAGGATCCAATCTGGGTCAGTCATCGGGACTAGAGGTTTAGTTTTTGGATCTTTTGGATTCATGCTGGAGCCCATTCATAGGGAACTACTCTCTCACCATGTACGACTAAATGTACGACTAAAGTCTAAACCTCTGGTCCCTTGTGACCGACCCAGATTGGACCCTGAAACATAATCCTGGGAAATGTACATTTGCCTTCATTCCTATGTAGCTTTGACACTTAATTCTTTTGTCTGGTCCATGCATCATTCTCAATTAATTGAGAAATTGATTTATCTCACTCGGCTGTTGTAAAAAGGGAGTGTGAAAGAAAACCATACACACTATCTGAGCTCTTTCAAGGAAGAAAAGAATGAGGTCTTTTAAAAATAAACAAAATAGAACTACAGGTAGTCCTCAACTTACAACAGTTCATGTAGTGACTGTTCAAAGTTACGATGACGCTGAAAAAAGTGACTTATGACTGTTTTTCACACTTACTATCCTTGTGGTCATGGGATCAAAGTTCAGACACTTGGCAGCTGACTCGTATTCATGACGGTTGCAGTATCCCAGGGTCACATGATCAGCTTTTGTGACCTTCTGGCATGCAAAGTGAATGGGGAAGGCAGATTCTCCTTAACAACCAGGTTGCTAACTTAACACCCTCAATGATTCACTTAGCAACTGTGGCAGGAAAAGTCGTAAAATGGGGCAAAACTCTCTTAACAAGCGGCTCACTTGGCAACATAAATTTTAGGTTTAACTGTGGTCGTAAGTCGAGGACTACCTGCAAAAACAACCATCCACAGTGAAATGGCGTCTGCAGAATGTTGATAGCTGAATGAAATCTGAAGGACCTGCCTGTGAGGCTGTGAAAAACGTGTTTTGATTATTTTTTTTCCCCTTCCCGTTCCACATTCTTATTTTTGCAGGGTAACTATATCACCGCGCGTCAATATTACGAGAAAGCTTTACAACTGGTTCCCAACAGCAAGCTGCTGAAAGAAAATCTGGCAAAATTGGATCGCCTAGAGAGGCGGCTGCAGGAAGGGCGGGGAAGGGGGTAACTGGACTGGCGAGACAAACCACGCACCTCTTGGTGAACGACTGCATGTTGTGGAAGCCCCAAGTTTCCCTCAAGACAAAAGCGAACAGGACGGAGTTATATGGGGCAGCGGGGACCCAAAATAGGAGGAGTCTGTGTAGGGATCGTAGAGGTGTCGCCAAAGCTTCAGGAATCTTCCTGGCGGTGTTGCAGGACAGGTGCAATCCTAACCTTAATCCAGAGATGATGTTGGGAAATGCTTCAAAAATGCACTGCTGGGGTGATGGTTGGAAGGGAGGCAACGGCTTGTTTTAGCAAAAATCAGAGAAAGCATTCATCTTGCAAGAAATATGCTCTTGAAACCAGGTGCCTGATTAGCCAAAAGCGTAGATGCATCAGTCAGTGAGGAAGGGAGAGAAGAGACAGGGCCAGCTGTCATGGAGGAAAATGCCACTCACCCGAAGCACTTGTAAAATCTCGGTAATAAATCTTGAAGAAGAATTGACTCAGTTATCTCAGTGGAAGCGATGTAGCTCATTCTCCTTTAAACACTTAGGTCCTGAGAGTGATTTCAGGAAGAAGAAAAAAACCTTATAGGAAACATTCGTGATAATTTACATTCACCTTATCACAGCAGCAATAGGAATGGAGATGGGCCAACATGACTAATGAAAACTTGAATCATCGGGTGAAAAGAGGCAGGTTAAAAACAAAAAGCTGAATGGATTTGGGAATACGAAGGGGTCAGAGTTGTTCAGAATGGAAGGGCTAGGTTTCCCCCTAAAAGTTTCCTTCATGCTTGCAGTGGATTCCATTTGCAAATATCTCTGATCCTTTGTGATCTCAGAGGGTGATTTAAGAGGATCTTACAGTGCTGATTGTAGAAAGAGCTGCTGTGTGAAGGAAGCACCTCAGAATGCCTCCTAAATCCACAGAACCTCCTTGAGTGATGCCTTTGAATCTTGGCTAAGTGGACACCTGATATAGCTACATCTTGCTGGCTCCAAAGCTTTTGGATTTGGTAATGTTTTGAGACCTGGGAAATGTATAATTTTTGAGGCATTTTTTTCCCCAGTGGAAGTTACTAGAAGTTTCGCTTCCTTTCCCCTCTCTCAAATGAGAAAAAAAAAATAGGTTTATTAAATGTGATAGAGGAGAAGAGAACTCATGACACAGATAGTGTTTATTTCTTAATATTTATTTGGCACAACCCCCAAAAATGTGTTTCTTGTTTGTCTGCGTTAGATGGCTTAGACCTGCTGTTGTTATTTTTAATGAAGCCAAATATGGTGTAACTTCTAGGGACGGAGATGATACTCTAAGAGTAGTAGGCGCCTCTGAGTAGGATTTGAAAATGTTCTCCCTAGGAGAAGGAATGTGTTCCTACCATGAGATTGAATTAGAAATAGAATCAGGGGGCTGAAAGGGATCTTGTAGATCTTCTAGCCCAACCCGCTGCCCAAGGCAGGGATCTGTATTCCATCTTGGACAAATGAGTGTCCAGCAATGGATCACCCTCAATTCCAGGAGGCAAGCTGTTCCATTGACTAAATTGTTCTCACTATTAAGAAATTTCTTCTTAGTTTGATTACAGCTTAGTTGGATAGCAACTTTTGAATCTGTTTGGTTGAGACCTTAAAGGTAAGCTCTGCTAACAACACAAGTCTGCCTTGGGCTCAGGCCTAATGTGAATTGATGGGGATCATGGCGATAAATGAAAAAAAAAACTGAGCCATTGTGCCTTGGAAAAGTAGCAGTAACCCAGCAACATGATGGCTGCCATTGGATAATGTACTATTAACATCTCCAGTTTGGCAATCCAGTGTGATCCTGTCTCTCTCCCTAGTCTTGGATCTGTTGTTTGGACTTGGCTGACCATATTCACTGACGGGAGCTGTCAAGCAGGAGGGAAGATAGTTCATCATTTCCAAAAATCTGGGGAAGAGTAAATGTACCTAACCATTTAGCTAGACTGGGGTCTCTAAACTTGGCACTTTTCAGACTTGTGGACTTCAACTCCCAGAATTCCTCAGCCAACCATAAAGTTGCCAAGTTTGGAGACCCTGAACTAGACAATAACTATCTATTACAAGTAGTTTGGCAACTGGCTGGAGGGATATATCTGCTGTTGCTACAGAAGATCAATTTGGGAAAACTTGATGTAAATGTGGAATGGTCACAAAGAAGCAGATTTAAAGTCTTTACTTTAGTGCAGCAGTTGTCCATTTGCAGAAGCTATTTTGGTTTCTTTTTATAAACATCCCACATTTTCCTATTTGTTCTTATTTGTTAGCTTATTACACAGCATCCATTAACAAGGGAAACAAGGCATACCAGCTCTGCAGCATGTTTGCATTGTAGCATTCAAATCACCTACAGATATTCCTCGACTTGCAACTATTTGTTCAGTGACCATTCAAAGTTACAATGGCACTGAAAAAAGTGACTTATGACCATTATAGTCACATGATCAAAATTCAAATGCTTGGCAATTGGTTCATATTTAGGACAGTTGCAGAGTCACCTTTTATAACCTTCTGACCAAGTCAATGGGGAAGCCAGATTCACTTAACAATGGTGTTACTAATTTAACAACTGTAGTGATTCACTGAACAACGGTGGCAAGAAAGGTCGTAGAATGGGGCAAAACTCATTTAACTGTCTCACTTAGCCACAAAGATTTTGTACTCAATTGTACTCATAAGTCGAAAACTACCTGTTATCTGGAAATTAGAGAATTTTGAATATTTTTTTAAACACATAGTATAATTCTGAGATTGCATGGTAGAGTCTTTGATTCAAGTCTCATTTCTTCTTTGGGCTTGGGCAGGTCGTGAAGATAGTTAATGCCTATCTGAAATGGCATGAAAGATATTTATATTAATATGATGGGGAGTTAAGATTATAAATGCTGAATAAAATAATGAAGCATCAAATGACAGAGTAACAGATCTGACTATACAATAGCACTTTCCAGACAATAAGCTCTTGTTATCATCCTGAACTTTCAGGATGTGGTAATGCAGAAATCTGAGGATTGGCTGTCGGTCGTTAAATGTGGGCCCTCAGCAGCTCAGCAAGCAAAAATAAGTTAGCTCGTAACAGAAACATGTTGTATCTTCTACATTTTAAATCAAAATTTATTTGCCAGCTGTGGATTTTTTTTGATCTTTTTTCCTGATGAACCAACATGGCTGTGATTCAGGACATTTTAGTAAAATGTAAGCCCATCAAGAATAAATATTTACAATAAAACCATTGTGCCAAATATATTATAATCTACCAGGATGTAGTTTTAGCATACCCAATTGATGTGCTTGGAGGAACATGAAGCAGGCTGAAGTCCACATCTGCACATCATTTAGTTTGGGAAAGCTATCATAAATAAGCACATTTTAATCTTGTACCCGCCAGTGTGTTCAGCTCTGCACAGCTATGAATATTTCACATACTATTTCCTCATGAATAAATGTATGAAGGATGCCTCAACTGTTTTATCCATAAATATTTCCATCCTTGTTGAAAATAGCTTGTTCAGGGTCAGGTTTTATTAATGTCATAGACCAGGGGTCGCCAACCTTTTGGATCTCAGGGATCCACCGGTGGGCGACCACTGTCATAGACCACGTTTTTCCTTTGCCTCTCAGTTCAATGAAACTGACACAATTTGTCTAAGGGAAGTGCTGAAGAAATTTTCTACTAATCCTGACCTGAAGAGGAAACTGGGAGTTTCTGATTTTTTTCCCCTTCAAAAGAATATATATGCATAACCATATTTACTTGTTAATTTTAATGAAGAATAGCAAAGAAAATGGTGCAGGAGATTAGACTATATATGGAGTTATATCTGCATCTAGTTGCAAATCTGTAGAGCAGCAAGAAATAGGAGATTATTCTCTTCTACACAAGCTGGAGGAGCTGTGGTGTCATTTATAAGAAGAAAATCTCATTTGTGAATGTTGAAATGTGCATCAGCTGAACTGAAGGAAAACTCTGAAATCATAGATTTGTTTTAAATGCTTTTAAACGCATGTGATTTTGACCTTAGGCATAAATGAGTTATACTGAGAAACAATGGAACAAATTATTTATGACCTTTCAAGGGAAAATTGATCACAGCCAATTGAGCTGCAACTGCTTCTTATTCCAGTAGAGGATATCACAAATTGGGACTCATTGAATCTCAAGCACTGATATATAATATGGTAAAAATATCTTACAAATTTAATGGCAACATAAATTTGTAAATCCGGAACATGTAATCATTTAGGATTACATATATCATCTTTATGGATCCAAAAAATGCAGGTGCTGAAATTTACCATTTATTGTTCGCAATTTAATGAAGAAAATGTATACATTCTGGAAAATTAGCCTTTGAACTGAGATTATAACAAATTATCTGACAATGACAACGGTTGAAATACTATCATATTTAAGTGGAGTTGCCATTTTTCTTCCCAGGAAACTATTTCTTCAAGTATTTACAGCCTTATCTTTGCTGGGCATTCAAGGAAGCAATGGGGAATAAAGCCACAACGAGTGGATAGATAAATCAGGCTGGCTGATCTGATTGGGCAGATTTGAACAGGGGCATTATTTTCCTATTTTTTATTTCTATACGTTTGAGCTGAAATGCACTCAGAGGAATGGGTCATGACTGAAAAGTCTTCATGGTTGCCTGTATCAGCCATTCTGCCTTCATTTTTTAATAAATTCTGGCTTTTAAATTCGAGGAGCAAAAGGCACTTCAATTCCAGCTTTCTCAGAACTGGTTCTATCATTATTATTATTATTATTATTATTATTATTATTATTATTATTATTAT